ATTCTGTTCCATTGATCTATGTTTAATTCCCATACCGTTTATGCCAATACCATATGCCAAAACCATACTATTTTGATTACTATAGCTTTGTAATGTAGTGTAAAATCAGGGAACACGATGACTCCAGCTTTGTTCTTTCTCAAGATTGCTTTGGCTATTCAAGATCTTTTGTGGTTCCACACAATTTTTAGGATTGTTTGTTCTATTTCTGTGAAAAATGCCATTGGAATTTTGATAGGAATTGCATTGAACCTATAGATTGCTTTGGGTAGTATGGACATTTTAACATTAATTCTTCTGATCCATGAGCGCAAAATATCTTTCCATTTATTTGTGTCTTTTTTAATTTCTTTCCTTAATGTTTTATGTTTTTCAGTGTATAGGTCTTTCACCTCCTTGGTTAAATTTACTCCTGGGTATTTTATTCTTTTTAATGCAATTGTAAATGAGATTTTCTTAATTTCCCTTTATGATAATTTGTTATCAGTGTACAAAAATGTAACAGATTTTTGTATATTGATCTTGTATCCTGCAACTTTACTGAATTCATTTATTATTTCTAACAGTTTTTGGTAGAGTCTTTAGTGTTTTCTATACGTGATATCATGTCATTGGCAAATAGCGACAATTTTACTTCTTCCTTTCCAATTTGGATGCCATTTCTTTCTTTCTTTCTTTCTTTCTTTCTTTCTTTTTTGGCTTAATTTCTCTGGTTAGAACTTCCAGTACTATGTTAATAAAAGTGGCCAGAGTGGGCATCCTTGTCTTGTTCCTGATCTTAGAGGAAAAGCTTTTAACATTTCACCACTGAGTGTGATGTTAGCTGTGGGCTTGCCATATATAGCCTTTGTTATATTGAGGTATAGTCCCTATATACCCACTTTGTTGAGAGTTTTTATCATAGATGGATGTTTGATTTTGTGGGATGCCTTTTCTGCATCTATTGAGATACTCATACAATTTTTATTCTTCATTTGGTTAATGTGGTGTATCACATTGACTGATTTGTGGTTGTTGAGCCATCCTTGCATCCCTGGAATAAATCCCATTGACCATGGTGTATGAATCTTTTAATGTATTGTTGAATTTAGTTTGCTAATGTTTTGTCGAGAATTTTTGCGTGTATGTTCCTCAGGGATATTGGCCTGTAATTTTCTTTGCTTGTAGCATCCTTGTCTGGTTTTAGTATCAGGGTTCAGGGAATGTCTCATTCATCTTTGTAACCCTAACGCCTACACTTTGTCAGAAACCACTGAAAATTTTCAGGTGACACATGTTGAATTTTGAAGAAGGAATTTACTAGTTAAGGAATTGGAAGAAAGATGGGCATTCCAGACAGAGGGAAAAACGCATTCAAAGGTACAGAGACATGAAAGAGCAAAGTAAGTTTTGGAAAATGTAAGTCATTCCGTGAGGCCAAAAGGAAGAAAGCATGTCATGGAGGGGCCCAATATGATGTCAGAAAATTAACAGAGTTGAGATTAGGAAGGGCTTTATGTGCTAAGCAAAAGAGTGTGAGCTGTATTTGAGAGCTTTGAGAAGCCAAAGTGGAAGATTTTAAACTGGGACGCACATGATCAGATTTGTGTTTTCAATCAGATTTGTCAGATTTGTCTAACAGCTGGGTAAATGGTGAATTAGAGGGACCCAGAGTAAAAGCAGCGAGACCGTGAAGAAGTCATTTTAAACAATAATTGAGGAGGACTCGAAGGCTGTGGCAATAGCATGAAGAGGGGACGGGCTCATGGGCTTCTTAAGACAAGATCAGCAGGATGTGGTGACTGACTAGCTTTGTGCCCAGAAAATGGAGCATGGTTTTAACTGGAATACCCCTTTGGCCACCACACAACCCATCCTCACTCAACTTGCCTCATGTCCTCAACCCTGAACACCCCCCCCCCCCCATCAAAGGGGTGATAAATAGTAAACAGCAGAATGCATCACATCTATTTCCCATAGCAAGGAAAATAAAATCCAGATTTTAGTGCTGGAGGGGACCTTGGCCAGACCAACCCCTAATTTAATAAATTATTGAACCCAGAAAAGAGGAATGGCTTTCATACAGTACCTCTGAAAATCAGTGGTAGGCACCTGGTCACTCTTTATCAAATCACCTATTTAATTTCCCACATAGCACTTGTCTTTATATTTTCGCATGTATTTGCTTATTTTCTGTCTCTTCCTGACATTAGAATGTAATATTTAAGTGCAGAGCCCTTTACTGTCTAAAACAGTGTTTTTTCCCATGTGGTAAATATTTAACAAACATTTGTCCAAAGAAGAGTGAGTCAGATTTAATCAGGTTTGCTTCCTCCTGAACCAGTGAGCTTAACACAGAACCTTGGTTTGGAAGTTATCAATCCATAATTCTATTTCTGTTAGGGTTTTTCCTAATCATTCCTCCAGAGACTAAAATCTACCAAGCAATAACATTCTAGTTCAGGCAGCTTCAGATAGTGAAGAGCTAAAAGTAATCATCATTATAGTTCTTTAAAAATGTTAACCACTGATCACCTCACACCTATTAGGATGGCTACAATTGAAAAAACAAAATAATAAGTATTGCACGGATGCGGAAAAATTGGAACCCATGTGCCAATGAGGAAGGTAAAATGGTGTAGCTACTTCGAAAACAGTATGGCGTTTCCTCAAAAAATTAAAAATAGAATTACCATACGATCCAGCAATTGCACTTCTGGGTCTATACCCAAAAGAATGGAAAGCAGGGTCTCAAAAAAATTTGCGCACTCATGTTCATAACAGCATTATTCACAACAGCTAAAAGGTAGAAGCAACCCAAGTGCCCTTCAATGAGTGAATGGATAAACAAAATGTGGTCTATACGTACAGTGAATATTATTCAGCTGTAAAAAAGGAAGGAAATGTTGTAATATGCTATGACATGGATGAACTTTAAGAACGATATGCTAAGTGGAACAAGCTAGTCATAAAAAGACAAGTACCTATGATTTCACTCATATGAGGCACCTGGAGTAGTCAAGTTCCTAGAGACAGAAAGTAGAATGGTGGTTCCCAGAGGCTGGGGGAAGGGGAATGGGGAGTTGTTGTTTAATGACTATAGAGGCCAGTTTTGCAAGGTGAAAAGAGTTCTGGATATTCACAACAATGTGAATGCACTTAACACTACTGTACATTTAAAGACGGTTAAGGTGGTAAATTTTAAGTTGTGTGTATTTTACCGCAATTTAAAAAATATTAACCACTGAGGTATGCACATCTGCTATCTCATTTGATCCTTACAATAAGGCTGAACTGTTAATCAAACAGTCCCATTTTATAGTGAGGAAAAGAAGACTCAGAGAAAGGAAGTGGATTGTCCAAGGCACATAACTAGAAAGTGGCGAGGCTGAGCCTCATACTCAGATCTCCTGGTTCCATGCCCAGTGCTGGCTTCTTCCACATCAGGGGAGAGAAAGTGTAGTGGAATTAACTTGACTGCTGGTTGAAATATAGGAAACCAACCCTTGGCAATTTGTGAAGAAAGCTATAAATGTGTGTCTGGTATGTGTCTGGTATGTGTGTGTGTGTATGTGTGTGTGTGTGTGAGAGAGAGAAAGAGAGAGACAGAGACAGAGAAAGAGCTCCCAGACACCTGCTTCGTGCTTCTTGTTAGTTTCCCTCCCTTCCTAAATCTCAGAGGGCAGGTGTGAGTCAACTGTAAACACAGTGAGGAAAGGTCACCCAACATTTCCTCAGCTGGCAAAGCAGAAGGCACTGGCACGGAGGTTGAATGCATGAAATTGAGACCTTTAAGATAATCAGGAGAAGATGGTGGCTCTTACTTTTGGAAATGGCTCCATTAGATGTCCTCCCACCCTCGACCTCCACACCCTCCTACCTCTTGTGAAGACAAAAGATGACCAAATGCACTATATCAAAACAAATCAGATCTGGTGAGAGAAGGGGGTGAGCAGTGGGAAAAGTAGTGAGCAGGAGTCCTAACAGTGCCTACGTAAGCCACCAACTCACTGTATGATCCTGGGCACGTTCCTTCCTCTGCCCCAAGGGTTAGGCTGCTATTACTCCCACTCTTTTCATATACTGAATTTGAGCTGAATTTAGAAGGAAGAACACAATCTCCCAAGGGCAGTGAAAAATACAAGAGGGTCATCTGGCCTCTTAGAAATAGCTTTTATCTATCATGGGCTTACTATGTGTCAGGCGCTGTGACGGATGCTTCACATAGAGTATCCCTAATCCTCTACCACTTGGGAACTTATTTTTCTGAGGAGACTGCACTAGTAATGCCAAGTTTCCCAAAGTGTTTGCCTAGATGAGAAAGAGCAGAGTCAGAATTTGAAAACAGACCTGTCTGGTTCCAAAGTTTGCTCTTTTCCACACTTCACGGTGTTAAGTTCCATGGCCAACTTATAAAGTACTATGGAAGCCCCAAGGAGACAGGGCAGAAGTTAGCTCTACCTGTGAACCCCAGGAGAGATCAATGGAGACGGTGGGTGGTGAAGTTGCAAGAAAGAAGTTGACAAGTAGATGGGAGACACATCTTGAGAAGCGAGAACACATCAGCAAAGTCAGGGTGGTGAAAAGTACAAATTTTCTATGAAAATTGCAAATGATCGTGTTTGGTTTAAGGGTAACTGAGTTGACCATTGGCTGGAGGTCATAATCCCACCACATCACAAAGAAGCTTGAATGCTACACTAAGGGCTTTAGAATTTATTTGTGTAGGCAGCAGGGAGCTATCAAAAGTTTGCATCAAGGGATTTATCAGCAATTGTTAATACTATCTCCTTTATGAGTGTTCATTATATGTTATGTTAAATACATCTGAAGGGTTTCAAAGAGAACAATTGTTTTCACTCCATCTCGCATGGACAATAGCATTACTTGCTCATGGTCATTAGCTAGGGGATGACCTGACATCGGCACTTAGAGCACCTTAGCATCCACAGCGAAGTCAGCTAATCATGCTGCTTTTTCCCTAGAATAATGAGACATTTCTTTTTTCTTTTATGCTTTAGGAAAGGTTAAGAAACTTCAAGGAACTTCAAGCCAAATTTCAGAAGCTTGATGCATCGGCTCTTCCAGGAGTTATTAAATTCCCAGCAGGTGTTTCTCAAAAGGGTGACATTGGAAGCACACAGCCCACAAGGATTTTGGCCAATGGGAAACCCCTCTCATCCAACCACAATCAGTCCCCACCATATTGTCCCAGTGGTGAACCCCAGCCTTTTAAACCCCAGAAAATGAAGTTGGCCCAGAGGAGTGAGATTCAGAAATGTTCTGATTCCCCAGGACCTCCAGGAGGCTCTTCTAGTTCTGCAGTAAATTCACAGAAGGCATCTCTGCTGTTAGACGTGAATCAGTCAAATGCTGAGATAACCAATGAGAAAGTAATGGTGACCAGTAGCTTCAGAGACAAGCTCTGGAACTGGGAGAAGGTTTCATCTCAGAAAAATGACGTGTCATCAGCCTTTCTTCTTGCCAATTGTGGAAGTAGGGCCATCCATCTAGAAAAGCAGGAAAGCATGGGGGTTACTCCAGAGGAGCCCAGGAAAAAGCTGGAAACCAAAGGTGCCCAGACCCTTCCTTCCCAGAGGCACTTGATGGCCCAAAGAAAATCACGTGCTGCCTCTGAAGATCCTACTTTTCTACTTTCTCAACATGACAAGAAGAGCCTAGAAAACCCCAGTCCTGAGAGAAGCCCAGCAGAGAGCACCTGCCAGCCTATCTATGATAGTGAGCTCATCAGCCAGGCCCCAGGTAAGAAATCTAATCCCCATGGGCCTATGGGGAGAGGTCACTGTGTTTGCCTAATTTAGAACTGGCTGACTTGGGATGCTCACATATGTGACCTGGGCAATGTCTGCTCCAAACTCCAGCACAGATACTCTAGGCCCATCTGCTAAATTGTAATTTCAGGTTTGGGTAAAGGGATTAATCTCCTGGAATTATATTGAGAGACAGTTTGGGCAAACTTGGATTTGAATCCTAGCTCTGCTTCTTACAAGATGCATGAACTTGGGCAATCTGCTTAACTTCGTAGAGCCTGGTCTGCTCTCCTATAAATCAGATCCATTGCCAATCTTCCTCGTCTTGGTAAACAGACAACCACCCTCCTGTCTGCTCAGGCCAAAACCTAGGAGTCATGCTCTATTCCTCTCTCCCCCTCTTTCTTTGCATCCAAGCTCTTGGTTCTACCACCAAAATACGTTCTGAATCCATCTACTTCTGTCCATTTCTGTCCTCTGTCCATGTCCATGCCGCCGTCATCTCTTGCCTTGACCACTGCAATGGGTTAACTGGGCTCCCTGCTTCCACGTTCTTGCCCTTTTCTATTCTGCTCTCCTCCCAGCAGGCACAGCAATCCTCTAAGGCACAGCGATCCTCTAAATCACAGCTCAGATCACATCACTCCTCTCCTCAAATTCAACTCCAGCCACTTTACGGTGGCTCATGTGATTTAGTCCCTAGCTACCTCTCCAACCCTCTCCTCTCTCACCACATTGGCCTTCTTGCTATTCCTTAGATATACCACGCTGGTTCCACCCCAGGGCCTTTGCTCTTGCTTATCCCTCTGCCTGGAACACTCTTCCCCCAGGTCTTCGATGTCTCGCTCCCTGACTTCCTCAGGTTTTTGCTCAGTGTCACCTGCTGTGAGTGGACTCCGTCTAACATAGCCACCCCACCCCCATCCCTCTCTACCTTCTTACATTACTTTGGTTTTCTTCATTATCACTTATCCCTGCCTGATGTATTGTTAGGTATTTGTTTGTTTACCTTAGTAAAATATATGTTACATGAGAATAAAAACTGTCTTCTCTACCACCACGTATAAGAACATATGAAGCACATATAAGAGCCAGGCTGGGTTCTGTGGGTCCTCAAAAACTATTTATTGAATGATTGAATGAATGATTGCATGGATGGGTGGATGGATGGATGGATCTCCTGCTTACAATCCTCTATGGTTTCTTTGCGCTTAGAATAGCATCTAAACGACTTTTGACTGATGTCATGACTCTGCTTCTTTTGGTCCCTGCTTCTGTCTCTGACTTACCTCCGGCCTCTCTTCCGCTGGCTCACCAGCCCGTAGTCAACACTGGATTTCTTGCTGTTCTTTAAATAGATTTTGTTATAACTCAGGACCTTTACACTTGCTGTTCCCTCTTCCTAGAAAATTCTTTGCTTTGACCTTTTTACGGGTGCATTTAAGTCTCAGTTCAAATGACACTTTCCCAGATAAACCTTCCCTGGCCTCTCTTTCTAAAAAGACCACTACCTCACCTCCATGCATTCACACTCTTTCATATCATCCTGGTTTATTTCCTTTATAGAACTGACAGATCTCTATAATTATCTTGTATATTTGTTTACATGTTTATCATCAGTCTCTTCCTATTAGACTGAAAATTCCTGAGGCTAGGACTATATCTGTTCTTTTTCTCAACTCTATCCCCAGCCCCTGGAACAATGCCTGGAATATAGTAGATAAATAATTATTGATGAAGGGATGGGAAGGAAGAGAGGATGAATGGGATGAAGGATAGATGTGAGGAAAGAAAAACGGATGGATTACTTACCTGCCTGCTGGAGCTGTTGAGAGGATTAAATGAGATAACCCATGTAAATCGCTTAGCACAGTGCCTGGTGAAAAGCAGGAGCTCACTTAGCAAGTGATCATTCATTTTCACTATGTCTTCTCCTTAACTTGATAAAGACTGAAATTTCTGACATTGTGACTTATAATTAAAGCCAGGAAGAGAGGAGCTTTGGCCCTGAGTGATGTAACCCCTGCTGGCAAGGCAAGAGGGAAGCCCCCTCCCCACTGGCAGAGGTCAGCAGGGCTTGGAGGAAGCTGCACTGAGGTATTTGTAAGACACTAGCCAACTTCTTTAGTTTTACCATGTAGTCAACCACTGTGTGATGTGAGTCAAAAATCTAGGAACTTGAATAATACAAGGTTTCATGCTATCATCAGTATAAGAGGCAGACTTGATTTTCATATATAATACTGAAATTGCTGCTGGAGTTTGGCTTATTAGTGCAGAAGGATAAAATATATGAAATTCCGGGACACAAAATCCACAGGTGCCCAGGTACCACTGAGTCAGCCTGGAGCCTGTCCTAGGCTATGAGCCCTGGAAATCAGAGATCCAGTCTTTCTCCTCTTCATGGCCCCCATGTTGTTAGCCCACCATAAGTGCTTGAAAGTCCTTTCAGAGAAGAGTCCTTGTCCATTTCCTCTGAAGCAGGGCCTGTGCTTGGTGCCAGGAGATCAATATGGCCTAGTCCCTGCCCACAAGGAGCCTACATTCAGTGGGAAGATGGACCAGCCCTCCAATATGCCACAGCACCATGTTAATGACGCGCTATGGGGATACAAAACAGACAGTGGTTGATTCTGGCCTTGATTTCTGGTAGAAAGCAAGAAAAGCTTCCTAGAGGAGGTGTCATCGGAGCAGGGCCTTAAGGAATAAGTCAAAGTTCGCCAAGAGAGAAGTGAGGGAACAGCATTCCAGAACCAGAATGGCATGAACGAAATTTTGGATATATGAGAGCTTTTTAAGACTTTTAAAATCAAATCTGGAAAACTGAGAAGCAAGTGCTGTGAGTGAAAGATGTCTGGGCTCAAGGTGGGGAAGTAGGATGGTAAAGGGTGGTAAGAAAAGGACCTGGAAATGGAGACTGGGGCTGCCTGGTGTTTCCGTGCTGAGGAGGAGTGAGTGGATGTCATGCTGAGGAGATCGGAATTCGTCCTCTGGGCAACAGGATGGTGACAAGATCAGATCTGCATTTTGGTCAGGACACTGGCTACTAGGTGGAGAATAGATTGCAGAGAGTGAGACTGAAGCAAAGAAACTCGTCAGTTTCACCCAACAAGCCACAAAACGGAAATAATAATAACCTATATTTTGGACTATTTGTGCTCAGAAAAACAGCCAGATGTCAGGCATCACCAACTTCCCAAAACGAAGCCACTGCCTTCCGTGGAGTCCCTGGGTCCACCTCCCCGAAAGCCGCCCAAGCCCCCGCTGGTGAACCTCCAGGACTTCCAGAGGCAGAGGCGGAGGCGGAGGCGGACAGCTGCTGCACCCAGGACCCACAGGGAAGGTAAGCCAATGCACAAGGCCCCACATGCAGCCAGCCAGTGGGAGTCAGGGCTCCAGTGTCTGCACCCCCAGTCACCTCCCTCTCCACGTCATCTCCCAGGTGACGGTGCCGAACTGCTTTTCCGCAGGGCCGGACATCTATCACTGCTTGTTCTCACGTAGAGGCCGTGGCAGCTTGCCCAAGTAATGACAGATCTGCGGGAATTGGCCCCTTATCGCTGCTGGGCCAGCCGGCTTCCCCTGAGAGCAGGGCATTTGATCACTGGGAATCTATCCAAGAGGAAGAAAAGGAAAAGTAGCCAGGCGGGAAGGCAGGGAGCCTTTGTGCTCCCTACAAAGCCTGTGTTGTCAACACAACCAGTGCCGTGGAAGAGGGGGAGGGAGGGAAAAAGGAGGAAGGTCAGTGTGGACTTAACCTGCGATCGTTACAGGTCCCGCAGGCCTCCATGATCTGCCTCCAGTAAATAAATGAGGGACCCCCCACTCCTGTGCCACCCCCACCCCACCACCCGGTCCTCTCCAGGAACCAAAGCATCCTTGGAAGCCATTTGGGGTCTTCCTCTGTAAAGGAACACCGCCTTATGCCCTCTCCACTCCCCCTCCCCCCGAGTCTGATCCTGTTGACATTTTATACAGCCTTGCTATGTTTGCTGTGATGACACATGAGTGAGCGACCCCTTGGGGCGGTATGTAGTGCAGTGTTCACATTTGTTTACTGTGGCGGTGAGCGCCGGTGGATGGTCCCTGAGAGAGCTAATTCTTAGTTCAGTGATTCTTACTTCATTGATTGCTGCTTTGATTGCTTTGGGCAACCTCATGGTTAAATTTCTTTAACTCAGTGTTTCTCAAACTTCAGCATGCAGCGGAATCACCTAGAGGACTTGTTCAAACACACGTGACTGGGCCCCAAGCTCAGAGTGTCTGATTCAGCTGGTCTGGGTTGGGGGCCTGAGAATTTGCTTTTGAACAAGTTCCCAGGGGGTATTGATGCTGCTGGCCCGGGGACCACACTTTGAGAACCATTGCTACAAGTCATCTTAAGTCTTGTCCTGAAAGAAAACTCTGTATAGACAAGTAGAGCTCTTAGAAGTATACTTGAATAATACGGCCGCCTCCATATCAGTGAAAGCTAAGTGTGATTTTTATAAACATTAAATAATTCAGGCCTCAGACCATCTCTCTGAGAGGGAAGAAGGTTGTCAGAGAACATAGAACAAAGTACTAAGTCTTTTGTAATAACATGGGCTTTGTAAATCCCAGCTCCCCACTCAGCAGCTCTGTAAGTCTGAGCATGAGCATGTTACTCTCTGAGCCTCGTTGTCCTCATCTGTAAAATGGGGATGACAGTAACACTCATCTCATAGGATGATTGTGAGGATAAATGACATGAGTCACGGAAAGTGACTTGGCATACCAGTAAGCCCTCAAAAAAGTGATATCAGGCAGGCATTGAGCAGCTACACTCTCTTTGCCGGGCCCTGTGATAGACACAAGTGATCAAGAGAGAAAGCCCACAGAAGTTCCGGGGCTCAGGGAGGTCAGAGTCTAACACAAGAGCATACACCATAAATAAGCACCATACGGGGCGGGTGAGTGCTGCGGTGCAGGAGGGGCAGTGGCCTGGGTGCCCGGGCAGGGGTCGGGGGAGAGGCTTGGGGCAGAGGGCAGTTGCCACTCCTCACTTTGTCTCGGGGTCAGGTCGTTGCACTAACATATTTGCTTTCCTCAGGCTCCGATAACACCTCTTTCTCACTTTGCCTCTTGCCCTTGCAGACGCCGTGGAAGAAGGTGACCTGCCTCCAGGGAGGTGAGTACCTGGTTCTTAACTGTGCAGGAGGGGAGCCCACCAGCCGGGCTGCCGAGCGCGCCCAAGAGCGGACAGCTAGCACAAGCCAGGTGTCTGGATGTCTCAGAAGGGTTGCAGGAAGAGCTGATTTATACGCAACAAACTGCAACTTTATTTTAAATGAGGGATTAAATAAACTGCATTTACCAACCAAGCTGAGGTTCACTTGCAAAGACCGGCCTCAAAGGTCCTTTTATTTATTATGCAGTTGAGTTCAGTAAATTGAAACATTGGCTTCCATGGTAACAAGTCGAATTAGAGGCCACAGAACGCTGTGGGCAGCTGGTGTGATGTTAGCAATTGATAATGGGACAAAGGACCTTCTATTTTTGGTGCATACCTTCTAAGAATTTTGCCTTGAAAGTATCAGTTCATTAAGTCACTCAACCAAATACTGTCTGTTGCTCCCTTTGATGTCAGGCGTTGAGCCGGCTACTTTGTACAGATTTTCTCGTTCCCTTTTCTCAAGAAGGCTGCAGAGTGGCTGCCGCTGTCCTCATTGTACAGCCAAAGACACTTGGGCTCAGACAGTTTGCCATGTGCAGAGCCATGGCTCCAACCCAGAGGTGCCCAAACTATATATTCTTTTAATGAGACGTAATTGACATATAACACTGGGTAAGTCTGAGGGGCACAGCATGTTGGTTTGACACATTTACATATTGCAATATGATTGCTGCATTAGCCAATATCTTGATCAGCTCACATAATTCTGATTTCTTTTTTGTGTTGAGAACAGTTAAGATCTAGTCTCTTAGCAACTTTGAAGTTTATAATACAGTATTTTATTTTTTTTGCTATAATCACTATGTTGTGCATTAAACCTCCAGAACTTATCTACTGTTGCAAGTTTGTACCCTTAAGCAACATCTGCAATTTCCCTACCTCCTAGCCCTGGTAACCACCATTCTACTCTTTGTTTTTACAAGTTCAGTTTTTACGATTCCACATATAAGTGATATCATTCAACGTTTGTCTTTCTCTGTCTGCCTTATCTCACTGAGCATAATGCCGTCAAGGTCCATCCATGTTGTTGCAAACAGCAGGATTTCCTTCTTTCTCATGGCTGAGTAATATTCCATTGTGTATTATACCACATCTTCTTTATCCATTCATCTGTTGACAAACACTTAGGTTGTTTCCATATCTTGGCTATTGTGAATAATACTGCAATAAACATGAGAATGCAGATATTTCTTTGAGATACTGATTTCAATTCCTTTGGATATACACCCAGGAGCAGGATTGCTGGATCATATGGTAGTTCAATTTTTCATTTTTTGAGGAAGCACCATACTGTTTTCCATTATGGCTGTACCAACAGGGATGCCCAAACTACTTTGACTATACTACCTCACCTCCCTCACAAAGATTTCCTGTTCTCAAGAAGGTCAGTCTTAGAAGGAGAACCAAACATAAAAATACATAATCATATTACTTATTCATTCATCAAATGTTTATAATGGTAGAGAGTGTTAAGTTTTGTAATAGAGGGAGGTACAAGATTCAGAGGTTGCACAAATGAGGGAGTGGTCGCCTTCTCTTGGGAGGATCAGGAAAGTCTTTATAGAAGATGTATCACTTATCTATTGCTACAGTAATACTACATAATAAAAGACAATAAAGCTTCAGGAGCAAATACCATGAATGTGGGGTTCAGCTGATCAGGGCAGCTCTCAGCTGGGCTTGCTCATATGTGTGCAGTCAACTGCGGACTACGTAGACAGCTTTGCTGATATTGGCTGGGGTTGTTTGCATGTTTGGGGGTCAGCTTGCTGTTGACTGATATGGGATTGCCTTGAGTGGGACGACTGAGGCAACCTGACTTAGCACAGTCCATCATGTACCAGCAAGCTAGCCCAGGAACGTTCTCCTAGCAGTCACAGCAGACAAGCAAGATAAGCCCAATTGCAGAAGATATTTGCAAACCACGTATCCAATAAGAGGTGGATATCCAAAATATATAAAGAATTCATACAACTCAACAATAAAAAAACAGACAACCTGATCAAAAGATGGACAAAAGATATGAACATTTCTCCACAGAAGATATTCAGATGGCCAACAGGCACATGAAAAGATGTTCAATGTCACTAATTATTAGGGAAATGCAAATCAAAACCACAATGAGATATCACCTCATGCCTGTCAGAATGTCTATTATTAAAAAGGTAAGAAATAACAAGTGTTGGAGTGGATGTGGAGAAAAAGGAACCGTTGTACACTGCTGGTGGGAATGTAAATTGTTGCATCCACTATGGAAAACAGCATGGAGATTCCACAAATATATTAAAAATAGAAATGCCATATGACCCAGCTATTCCATTTCTGGTTATCTATGCAAAGAACATGAAAACACTAATTTGAAAAGATATATGCACCCCTATGTTCATTGCAGCATTATTCACAATAGCCAAGACTTGGAAGCAATCTAAGTGCCCATCAATGGATGAATGGATAAAGAAGATGTGGTATATAAATACAATGGAATACCATTCAGTCATAAAAAAAAAGATGAAATCTTGCCATTTGCAGCAATATGGATAGAACTTGAGGGTATTATGCTCAGTGAAATAAGTCAGATGGAGAAAGACAATTACGGTATGACTTCACTCATGTGTGGAAGATTAACAAACAAACACATAGAAACGGAGAACAGATTGGTGATTACCAGAGGAGAAGAGGGTGGCAGGAGGGCAAAAGGGGGAGATGGGGACATGTGTACAGTGATAGGTGGAAACTCGACTTTTGTGGTGAGCACAATGCAGTCTACACAGAAGTTGAAATACAATGATGTACACCTGAAATTTGTGTAATGTTATAAACCAATGTGACCTCAAAAAAAAAAAAAAAAAAAGCCAAATTGCGTAAGCACATTCAAGTCTCTGCTGTATTGTGTTTGCTAACATCTGTTGGTCAAAGCAAGTCACGTGGCCAAGCCCAGAGTCAGAGGGGGAGGGCACCAAAAATTTATGTGGCAAAGGGTCGGGATCAGAAGAGGTGGAGAATAGGAACATTAATCCGATCAACCTATCACTGAAGAGGAAACATTTGAAATGAGAGTGGAGGGAAACATTTGCCGGATAACATGCGAAGGGGCACTGCAGGCACAGGCAGGAGATGTGAAGTGACATGTCTTATCTGTGGAAACCAGAAATAATTGGGGAGAATTACAGCGTAGAAAGTATAGTAAGGAATGGAAAGAAATGGGATTGCAGACGTAGACGGAAACCGATTCACGGAGGATCTTGTCCACCAAGGAAGAGATAAGAAAATCCTGTTCAACAAGGAGCTGACTGTGTGGTGCCAGACATGCCTTGCGAGCTCCAGGAACTCCTATCTCACTTGTCTATTTGAAAGAGTTAAATGCCGGTGCAAGGTAGGTCAGTGGAGCTGCATTCTACGTGCATTTATGTGAACAAGACAATTTAGACAGCTCAGGTGATGATTTGCACTATTTATTCATTGAGCATGGGCTCCAGTGTGATGGTTTGCGGGGACAGTGCAGCTGCTGTGCTCTGAGTTGGTCTTGGTCCCCTCATGCCTCACATCCTGTGAGCATCTCAGAGTGAGTGTGAGTGTGCTATGATTGTAGTGTTTAGCTGGATATACATTTGTCCTACAGCTTAGCTCTAAACTAAGCCAACTTCTTCTCTGGTATTTTAATCAAAGACACAGGAACTCTTTTCAACGTGGGGGATAAAGTTGCTGTGATGGGCAAGTATTGGGAAACAGTAGCCTCTAGTGTGACAACTTCTCCCTAAGGGATTTACAAGGGAAATTTGATGATTCTGCCCTCTCACACTGATTTTAGAACCTAACTGTCATTGAAATGAGGTTCATTGTCCCTCAATTATGATATGGGCCATGGTGTTGCAAGAATGCAAAGCAAAAGAGATGAAGAGGGAGCAAGATAATCAGGGGAAGCCTCATAGAAGACGAAAGAACTTGAGATGCATTCTGCATGATGGGTCATAATTGAATAGGCTTACTTACTTGTTCCCTCTTGTGAGACTGTAATGTGGGTGAGAGCACGGTATGGTTCCCAGAAATAACCACATTCCTAACTTGTACAGTCATGTGCCACACAACAACATTCGGTCAATGACGGACCACATATACAACAGTTGTCCCATAAGGTTCGCACCACATAGCCTAGGCGTGTAGTAGGCTACACCATCTAGGTTTGTGTGAGCACACTCTGTGATGTTTGCACAACGATGAAATCACCTAATGACGCATTTCTCAAACATATCCCCATCGCTAAGCGACACGTGACCATAGTTGGTTAGTGGATGAATGGATGCGTGGAAAGATGGATGGATGGATGGATGGACCATTGGATATTCACTATAAAGATAGAGTATGATTGAAAGCAAGGCAGTGGTAATAAGGAGTAGGAAATAAGCAGCCAAAACGTATTCTGATGTACAAAATAAGAGACAGGATTGGATCCTAAAGTGCATTAAGTGCCATGCTAAGGAGTTGGGACTTTATCTTGTCAACAATAAGTTAGTTTGAACAAGTAAATGCCCTGATGCTGAGCAGCCTTAGATACAACTTCCATGAGAACTGGCACTTGTTTGGGAAGAACATCTTCCATGTTCATGGTATTAATCTTCAATACAGATACTAGATTAGAAATAGAATAGGTAAGATCTCATTACTGGAATGGGCCCTGGTGATTATCTGATGCAGTCAGGCCATATAGCATAGTGTCAACAAAAGCCTAGGTTTTTTAATCCAAGCTCTACCACTTAACACCTGTCTAACCTTGGAGAAGTGCCTTAACCTCTACAAACCTGTCTCTGCTTTCGTAAAGTGGGATATTGATAGAGTTGTGGTGAGGGTTAAATGAAACAATGATTGTAAAGTGTTTAGCACAGTGCCTAGCATCTAGAGAGTGTTCAACAAGGACTGCTTAGCTATTATATAACCTCCCACCAAGGGCAGGAATCCTT